TGCTCTGGTCCATGAGGTCACGAAGGGTCGGACATGACTAAACAACTAAACAACAACAACAGAGATGATTAACCAGGCACATCACATAGCATTTTCAAGTCTCTAGGCTTCTGCAGAACATTTATTTGGGGGAGATATCTCCCCCATTTATTTGAGATACAGTGGTGCCTCGCATTACGAGTGCTCCGTTTGACGATGAAATCGCATCACGACGAAGATTTAGCAATCAGGTCACGAAGGGTCGGACGTGACTAAACAACTAAACAACAACAACAGAGATGATTAACCAGGCATATCACATAGCATTTTGCAATCACAAAAAAATGTTCCCTATGGGGGGGTTTCAAAATGGCCGCCGGGTGAAAAACATGGCCGCCCGCTGTTTTCTGGCACGGATTCCTCACTGCATGGGCAGCGAAAATGGCCGCGCAATGGAGAATCGTCGCTGGACGGCAAGTTTTAAGCCCCTAGGAACGCATTAATTGGGTTTTAATGCGTTTCTATGGGCTTTTTAAAATTGCATGACGTTTTCATTTGACAGCGATTTTTTGGAACAAATGAACGTCGTCATGTGAGGCACCACTGTATCTTTGTAATCCTTTGGTTTCTGGGGTTACAAGTGTATTTTAAACGTCATCATGCGAGGCACCACTGTATCTTTGTGATCCTTTGATTTTTGGGGTTACAAGTGTATTTTCTCTCGAATTCTAGTTACTCAGATTGCAAAATAAGTGCAATGAAATATAGTCATATTCCTGTTGTGGCATAATAATCCTTCCAGGTCTCTCTGTTATGGTACTAAGCTTCTAGTGCTATGTGCCATAGCATCTGTTTGGTATTGCTTGCATTGTGATATTAGAAGTTGATAGATACCAGGTAGAATTCACTATTCCTTTGTGCATGTAGTTTTTGTTCTTAAAAAAAAAGATTCCTTAAAAACAAAGATGGCATTCAGTAAGGAGTAAGATTTTTCCTTACTACATCATTGGTGACCATATAACCTGGTAAGAAATGTTTTAGTAAAATGCAGGATCCATTCTCTACAGTAGTACATTTGCAGTATTTAGTATCTTTTCACAAAAAATCTTGTGTGTTTTTCACCTATTAGCATAGTATATAGTTTCTTCTTTGCTTTCCTTCTGATTCCAGCTAATGAAAAATAGTGTGGTTTTCATGTTAAGGTGTGCATTGGGATGGGGGGGCTTTGGCTCTCCTAATGTTTTGGTTTACCCATCAGCTCTACCCAACATAGCCAGTGGCAGGGGATTCTGGGTGATGTATTTGGTGTGCCAAAGGTCCTTCTCCCAAGTTTAGAACAGTGAGCATGGAATACAGAGATCTGAAATATTGGACTCGGAAGTTACTTCTGGGTTGCGAATCTTTGGCCATGAATTCACTGTGCGGCCTTGAGGCTGGTGATGGTGCCTCAGGTTATAGGAGAAAACAAAATGAAGTACAAAAGTGATTAATTAATAGATCTTTTAATGCAAGTATCATTTGGGGCAGAGGTGTTGCTTTGCTACAAGAATGCTAATTTAAACTGTTTTGCAGGTGACACAGTTTTGAGAATAGATGTGACAACGGGGAAATGGTATAGCGGGGAATTTCTTCATGTAAGGTGAAGTGTGTTGAAGAAGAGGACTACTAAAGTCTCCCCATTGTATAGAAGAGAAAGGGTGGAAAAGAAGGGAAAGAGAAAAGATGAGATCTACTGAAGACCAGAATAGTGGAAACTGTTAGGCTTAGGATTTAACTAGAGGCAATAAGGAAGCATTGCAGAGCCTTTGTAAGCACCGAGACACAACTCTGATCGTGGTTAGTTGGTTTGATTTTGGCAGCACTCTCCTACTCTAGATGTTTTGAGTAAAAGAGCAGTGTTGCCACGAAATGGAAGAGCTCCAGAGATGAAGGAGCAGAAGTGTTGTGATTGTAGTCTGTAGCAGAGAATGTAGAAAAGCTGTAGAGATTCTGAACTGGCAGGACTAGAAAAAAAAATCTGAATCATTTGTGGTCTACCCGATGCCTCTAGATCACTCGGCAACAGTACCAGAATGCGTTGGCTGCAAGCCGAATGGATAGCTCACCCCAGACTCCTGACATGGAGGTTTTCAATGATGGAGACTCCACAAAGCCTCCCTCAACAGTCAGAGGCACCCCACAGACTCCCAAGGATGACCCTGGTCTTCTCCTGAATGAGCAAAGCACCATTGTGGGTAGGTACAGCTTGAGGTGTGCTCCATCGCCCTAGTTATGGAAAGCAGGGATGGGTAACATTAGCATGCCTGGTGGCCAACATTTTGTCTTTAGTATCCATAGGATGCGTGTGTGTGTGGCGGTGTGTGTGTGTGCCAGGCTCTAAAATGGCAAAAGGAGTGAGCGAATGAATTTTAAAAAAAATACAAGGGTCTGGACATCCACTGCAGATATTGACATTTTGTTTTTTAATATGAAAATCATTGTTCTTGAAGCATGCAGGAGCAGAAAAACATGATTTTATTACCAAAATAGAAAAAGTTGCTGTTTAATCTGGAGCACTGGGTGGGGGTGGGGATTGAAAAACAGGCCTTGGAGGCAACTGACAGTCTGCGGGCCACACATTGCCATCCCACTGTACAGATATTTATACTGTTCCAGGCCAATTCAGAGGCTTGCTTCAATATGCCTTTAACTTACTAATCACAAATTACATCAGCACCCATCCTAGTTTAGGACCTCAAAGTGTTTTAAATCAGGACATACTGAAAAAGTTGGAACTAGCTTCACTGTTGTTATTTTGTTAGTTATTGCATTTGTGTAATTTCTGATTTTCTCCTTGATCACTCTTCAAATAAATGTGCTGTCTTCCTGTTTGAAATGCAGTATGTGTACCTGATGTACTAGATGCTGCAGTTTCTCTATCTGTATCCTACAGTTAGCCAGTCAGATGGGCGTCTGAAGAGCCCCACAGATTCTGTGTTCCTACACATGGAGGGGATCTCTCACATCCAACAGGGGTCAGCAAGTGGCACAGAAACTAATATACAACAAAGTGAGTGCTCTAAAACTAGTGAGAACATCTGGACAGGAATAGAAATCACACCCTCAAGGTGTCAGAACAAGTCCTACCCTTATATTGGCTCTTATTGCCTTACAGAAAATGAGGGCTGTTTTGTCAGGCTGGAACATGAAGTCTGCAACAGAGAAATGGAATTCACCACTTCTCCTAGTGGCCCCGAGGAACCCCTGGGCAAGAAGCTGCTTCGAACCCTTAGTGAGTCACACCACAGCCCCTGCAGTGGGTGAATTCATGTGTGGGGGGGGTGCCATTTGACACCACAGGTATACAGTTCCAGTCACTTGAACCTTGCCTTGGTCAGCTTGGTCAGACAGTGGATATTTCTCATCTGCAAAGGAGCAGATGCTCATGGTGTCTCCTATCCACCAGCCACCATGCTGTTTAAGCCTGTGGAGTTTACACTGACTGGTGAGAGGTTTGGATATTGTAACCCTCGCTTGCTGACATTAACTACTGCAGCAGGGCATTTGTGCCAAAAGTGGCTGCTGGCCCTGATACTATTGTGCTTGGTTTTGCAGGTGGAATAAAAAGAAAGCCCTCGGCGGACAGCGAAAAGAGTGCAGATGATAATACTAACTTCACATCTCTCTTCACATGAGTGGCAACGTGGTATTGCTCCTCCCACAGGTTTGTAGTGTTTATTGACCTTTGCAAGTAATGCTGGTCTCTTCTTCACCTGTGTACACCTGTTGTACATTGAATGCACATGAGGGCATCCACATGAGAGCTTGGAAGTGTTATTTATTTGGACTCATCCACCAGAGCTGCTGTTCTTCAGCAATCCATCACATCTTTCTTAATCAAAGTGTTAAAGCACAGTGTTGGCTTTATACTTTAAAAAAAAGCACAGCAGGTTATTTGGTGAACTTTTACACTGACGAAAAATGGTGGCAATGGACACTTCCTGCTATATAAGTGCAGATCCATGCACTCATCACCTTGTGACCTGCTGCTTCATTAGAACACGGTGAGAGAGCTTTGCTCCTGTTCCCCCCCCCCCAATTTCTCAAACCAATCTGAACTATAAACTAATTAATAGGGACTTTAAAAAACAGACGAGGATGTTTAGAGCGACATGCAGTAACTGCAGCCTTCAGAAGTGATGATTCACTTTTTGAATAGGCAGCATCCTCCCCATGCATATTATTTAATACCAATAAAACACTGAGTAATCAGTAAGTGTAAGCTTCCAGTTGCTTTTGGTTTCATTTTTGGTACAAGTTGGGTGATCTTTATGGTCTATGAAAGGTCCCAAGGCCAGAAAATTAACCCCCTGGACCTGCTCCATCAGTGTTGCAGACTTTCATGTTTCCATCAGAGTTCTCCAAGATGATGGAAGCATAGTATAAGTGGAGTTTCCTTTTAATTAACGAACATGGATGCTGGAAACTTTAGATGCATCCCTCAAGAATGCAGAAGCCTTTATTTGGGGGCTGTACTCTTCCAAAACAGGAGATTTGCAGCTACTGGAATTTGCTGCTGAGGATATTCTTGCAGCTGCACAGAAAGGCCATAAGCTTTTTGAGAGGCTGAGGGTGCCTGACACATCTTGTGGGCTCCATGAAATGCTATAGGAAAAGGGGGGGGGGAGATTTTAGGTGCACATTTGTGAATAGCTGTTTTTCCTTTCTCAGGTCAGCAGCATGACAGCCGACCGTGGTAAGATTCATGTGTGCGTGATGGCACCTGCTTCTTTCTCACATCAACTAATCCCCTGCCTCCAGGGCTTGCAAGTCAGAGAGCAGCCCTTTGAGCTCAAGAGGGGACACCAGCACACAGAGATTGCTGAGCACCAAGGCTCAGTGAAAGGTGGAAATGAGAAGAAACCAACCGATCGGGTATCCCTGTGGGCAGCTCAGCAGGGCAGTACCATCACCCCCTCTCACAAAATTACTTCCATTGGAGTAATGACCAAGGGGAGGGGAGTGGCACACAGCCAGCTCTCCTTCCTGTTGGAAGTTCCTCTTGCATGGTCCAGCTCCCTACCTGGACCTCTGCGCATGTTTGTTTGTTCAACAGCAGCATCACACCATACACAGTATTCATGTGCATTACCTAGATTTGTCCTGACCCATTGGTATTTGTAACCAGCACCTCTGGGCTGAAGTGCAGATCCATGCACTGATCACCTTCTGACTTGTGAGCGCCAAGCAACACTAACATGGACACTTGGCCATAGAACAACAAAACCCCAGCCTCCAGGGCAATTTAGAGCAGAGGAAGTTTTGACATCAGGCATCTGTAAGGGAAAAATAAAATGTACTTGTTCTACATTAAACCAGTCCCTTTCACATATATATTTGGATGGGTATTATAGGGAGGAAGGGCGAGTGAAAAGGCACAGCAACATAGGAGGGACTGCCAGGAGAGTTCTGCTTTTCAGGTCCTGAGTGTGCAAGTGGAGGTTGAGTCTATCTATGGAACATAGTTCCAAACAGGTTTTTGCTTGTATGGCATCACAGAGGTTTCAAGGGCAGTTTGTTCTTTTGCTCTTGGTTGGCATCCAATGCTAGAACCGCATCACCTCTCACTAAAACTTCCTTAATTTCCCAGTGAGATTGGTACATTTCTGCTAGTGCTCAGTAACATTAAAAGAAGTAATTCTCTGCCGTAAAAGGAATAGCAAAAAACAAACAAAAAACTCAGCAGCAGAAGCCTATCTGTATCTATTCAGAGGTAAGACTGAGCCCAATGAAAACTCATCCCCAGTTAAATGTATATGAAACTATCTCGAAAGTTCTTCCTTTGTTATTCAAATCCTGGTTTCTTATCTTGATTCTCCTAAGATACTCTCCTTTCTTGAAAGATCCCCCATTTTGTTTTTCCCTTTCTGTGATGGATATTGCCAAGAGGTTCATGTTGGTGCCTGATTGGAAATACAGTGGTGCCCCGCATAGCGACGATAATCCGTGCAGCAAAAATAGCTGCAAAGCGATTTCATCGCTATGCAATTTTAAAAAGCCCATAGAAATGCACTGAAACCCCTTCAATGCGTTCCTATGGGCTTAAAACTCACCTTAAAGCGAAAATCCTCCATACGGCCACCATTTTTGCTGCCCGGTAAGCGAGGAATCGGCGCAAAAACATAGCGGGAGGCCTTTTTGTTTACCCGGCAGCCATTTTGGTACCGCCGATCAGCTGTTAAAAAATCATTGCTTTGCGATGATCGGTAAATGAAACGGTACTGATCGCAAAGCGATTTTTGCCCATAGGAAACATCGCAATGCGATCGCAAAATATTCGTTGCTGTGCGATTTCATCGTTAAACGGGGTGCCCGTTAAGCGAGGCACCACTGTACAATAAATTGAAACCACTTCATTCCACAACAACATGCACAGTGGCATTTTGCCTGTGGTAGAGCAAAACAAAACAAAGAAGCCCTCATCGTGCTTCATTTCAAGTTGATTACTTACTGGAGACCTAAGCCACTGCATTTGTATAGAAGAGACAGTAGGATAGGATGATTCTGTCAGCATTCATAAGCCAGTTTTTTTGTACTAGGCTGCTCTCCTCATCCTCACTCTGCTTGACCTAGAACATAACCCTTATGGTATGCATTATTTGTCCAAGGTGGGCTGCCTCTTAAAACTATACTTAACTCTTAGGCTCAGTAGAGAGAAAGGAAGAGATGGTAACAAAACAGTTGCTGTCAAATGTAACAAAACATGCACTGATCTCAGATGGGGAAGGGATAGTTATTGGACTGGAACTCCCATCAGGTATACACAGCATAGCCAGAAGTGACAGATTATCACAACCACAGTCGAACAACAGAGAGGGGCATACCTTCCCAATGCTGGTCTATCCGTGTTCCCTGTGGGAAAGGGCCCCCCAAAACAATAAAATGCAAGGATTGCAAGAAGTGGATGGTCATCTGTATGAACTTGCATAATAAGCAAAGCCCATGTATATCTTCACACAAAAGCAAATGAAAAAGTGCACAACAGGTGTCTCAGCCCACAGATGGGTTTTTTTCTTTTTCTTGGTAGCTTCCAGATCTCTTCACAGAGAGTTGCACCTGTCAGTTTGGAAGATGACAGATTTCAAAAAAACTGCCAAGTCCTACTGTGCAGAAAATTCACATTGTTTTGGTTAATTTCTGTTTGCTTGAGTCAGAAGTCCTTACACTGAAGATTCAGCTGCTTTAGAGCAGATTACCCTAAGATCTGTTGTTCTGGAAGCACTATCTTCACCACTACATTAATTCAACCTTGGTTGCAACGAATGCATTATAATTAAAAAGTACTTACGGTAGCTATACAGAACCTAGCTTTTGGAGGCCAGCAGTTCAGATAGCTTAATTTGACAATTTGAGAATGAATATGAATTAGTGACAGGTTGTTTCAGAATCTTAGGAGCATTGAGTGGAGCGGAGTACTTCTGGATTTGATCTCAACCTGGAAGAACAACAGCCCAGGATCAAATGTAATTTTCTACCAAGGAAAGCAGCTTTGTTCTCCTCTCCTAATCACTATGATATTGGTTTAAAAAGAGCATGGCATGAAGAGATGTTTTATTTTGGTGCACTGACAGGAAAAAGGTACAGTTATTAAGATTACAATCTTTACTTGTGCAAGGCCAGAAACGGCACCAGCCTTGCTCCCTGAAATAGCCCATGCAACCAATACACAGGAACTAACGATTTTGGTATTTACCTCACAACATACTGCTCCTTTGCTGCAGCAGGCATGGGCCAGAGAGGGTTACATAAAGTGCAAATGGTCACACGGAAAAGGCAATGAAAGAGGCCACGTGCTTGCATTCCAGAATGAATCACTAGCAGTACTAGGTGTGCAAAATCAACAGCTCGCACACAGGAGGAACAGAAACATTGCTGTCTCATTCCTGCTGCCATGCTTGCATACAAATAGAGGGCCATTAAAGAGGCAGGGAGACACTTTGGTGTCATAATTGCTGTTCCAAAAGCCTAGTGAGTCATGGATGTGAGGGAGGTGAGACTCTGTTATAAGATGAATGAAATTAATTGTTCTTGTGGCTGAAGACCAAATTAATTTGCATACAGTTGCGCATAATTTTCCTGACCGTTCTGTTCACCACACTCCCCATGCAACTTAAGCAGGATTCAAATTCAAGCAGGTGAAAAAAGTACAAAGGACTAATTAAATCCTCTTTCGAACAACTCTTCTGTTTGCAGTTGCCCCCCCATCCAGCTAATTTTGCACCTGCAGGGGAAAAAGAGGTAGCCTTCAGAACGGGCAGTATTTAAACAGAAAAGTGGCAAGAAGGGAGGGGAAAGGATTAAGTAGCATCCCTCTATTTACATTTCTACATTTCAATAATTTTGGTTTTAAAACACCTAAAACATTAAGGGGAGGAATTTAAGACGCAACTGCATGCAAGGGATGGCTTCAGATTTACTGGATCGTGGTGACAGCTTCATGGATGGAGTTAGCAACGTAGTCCAGGTTCTTCGTAGTCAAGCCACACATGTTGATACGGCCACTTGCCATCAGGTAGATGTGTTTCTCCTTTATCATGAACAGTACTTGCTTTGCTGGAGAAGCAAAAAACACATATCAGACTCAGCAACAATACAGAGCAGTCTGTGCTAAGATGTATCTACTATGGAAAAGCTTACAAGAGGAAAAACCTTCAGTAAACAGAAAGAGACAAGGAGCAACAGATTCTAATCAGAGCCTGACGTGAAATGGAAGCTCAGTTGTGTTTAGACTTATAAATAAGGTAGAACTCTGCCTGGCTCTCCACCAATGAGGCAGCATATTAATACTCCGCACTGCCCAATCATTCTCACTGGACGTGGGAGCAGCTAGACCACAGTTGGTTGTTTAATGCAGGAGTGGGCAATAAGCCTAGGTCTTTGTGAAAGGTGAAGTCTTGCTATTAGACTCCATATAGGGCATCCCCAAAAAACTACACCATCCACAGCCCTGGACCTCCCAGGAAACGTGGGAGAAGTTTCCTTTTTGCACAAGAGGTTGGCCCAAGACAGTCTGGGCCTGTTCCAACTGAGTGAAATGTGGGAGTATGTAGATGTGTCTGTGGACAGGTACCCCCACAATTTTGCCTAGGGAATTCTTGGGAAAAATCTGGGACTTGGAGCCAAAAACCCCTGAACAATAAATGGGGGTTGGGGGTCAAAAAATTAACCACAAACATCCCACATGGGTAACACTTGGAGCCAATTTGTTGCCCAGAAATAGGCCAGGGGTGCAAAGTAAAACTATGATATTGGTTTAAAAAGAGCATGGCATGAAGAGATGTTTTATTTTGGTGCACTGACAGGAAAAAGGTACAGTTATTAAGATTACAATCTTTACTTGTGCAAGGGCAGAAACGGCACCAGCCTTGCTCCCTGAAATAGCCCATGCAACCAATACACAGGAACTAACGATTTTGGTATTTACCTCACAACATACTGCTCCTTTGCTGCAGCAGGCATGGGCCAGAGAGGGTTACATAAAGTGCAAATGGTCACACGGAAAAGGCAATGAAAGAGGCCACGTGCTTGCATTCCAGAATGAATCACTAGCAGTACTAGGTGTGCAAAATCAACAGCTCGCACACAGGAGGAACAGAAACATTGCTGTCTCATTCCTGCTGCCATGCTTGCATACAAATAGAGGGCCATTAAAGAGGCAGGGAGACACTTTGGTGTCATAATTGCTGTTCCAAGTCCCTAGTGAGTCATGGATGTGAGGGAGACTCTGTTATAAGATGAATGAAATTAATTGTTCTTGTGGCTGAAGACCAAATTAATTTGCATACAGTTGCGCATAATTTTCCTGACCGTTCTGTTCACCACACTCCCTATGCAACCTAAGCAGGATTCAAATTCAAGCAGGTGAAAAAAGTACAAAGGACTAATTAAATCCTCTTTCGAACAACTCTTCTGTTTGCAGTTGCCCCCCCATCCAGCTAATTTTGCACCTGCAGGGGAAAAAGAGGTAGCCTTCAGAACGGGCAGTATTTAAACAGAAAAGTGGCAAGAAGGGAGGGGAAAGGATTAAGTAGCATCCCTCTATTTACATTTCTACATTTCAATAATCTTGGTTTTAAAACACCTAAAACATTAAGGGGAGGAATTTAAGACGCAACTGCATGCAAGGGATGGCTTCAGATTTACTGGATCGTGGTGACAGCTTCATGGATGGAGTTAGCAACGTAGTCCAGGTTCTTCGTAGTCAAGCCACACATGTTGATACGGCCACTTGCCATCAGGTAGATGTGTTTCTCCTTTATCATGAACAGTACTTGCTTTGCTGGAGAAGCAAAAAACACATATCAGACTCAGCAACAATACAGAGCAGTCTGTGCTAAGATGTATCTACTATGGAAAAGCTTACAAGAGGAAAAACCTTCAGTAAACAGAAAGAGACAAGGAGCAACAGATTCTAATCAGAGCCTGACGTGAAATGGAAGCTCAGTTGTGTTTAGACTTATAAATAAGGTAGAACTCTGCCTGGCTCTCCACCAATGAGGCAGCATATTAATACTCCGCACTGCCCAATCATTCTCACTGGACGTGGGAGCAGCTAGACCACAGTTGGTTGTTTAATGCAGGAGTGGGCAATAAGCCTAGGTCTTTGTGAAAGGTGAAGTCTTGCTATTAGACTCCATATAGGGCATCCCCAAAAAACTACACCATCCACAGCCCTGGACCTCCAACGTGACGTGGGAGAAGTTTCCTTTTTGCACAAGAGGTTGGCCCAAGACAGTCTGGGCCTGTTCCAACTGAGTGAAATGTGGGAGTATGTAGATGTGTCTGTGGACAGGTACCCCTTTTGCCTAGACTACACCATCCACAGCCCTGGACCTCCCAGGAAACGTGGGAGAAGTTTCCTTTTTGCACAAGAGGTTGGCCCAAGACAGTCTGGGCCTGTTCCAACTGAGTGAAATGTGGGAGTATGTAGATGTGTCTGTGGACAGGTACCCCCACAATTTTGCCTAGGGAATTCTTGGGAAAAATCTGGGACTTGGAGCCAAAAACCCCTGAACAATAAATGGGGGTTGGGGGTCAAAAAATTAACCACAAACATCCCACATGGGTAACACTTGGAGCCAATTTGTTGCCCAGAAATAGGCCAGGGGTGCAAAGTAAAAAATTCCAAACAACATAAAAGTGAAGCAGAATGGATAGAAATTCACTTTGGTATTTTGATATGCTAGATGGTGCAGGCAGTCCCTACAAGCTATTTATGGGAACTGCCACTCCTAGAGACTTCTAGGAGCTACAATTTGTCCTTTTTTCACCACAAAAAGAAAGGGCTGAGGGCTGCACAAACACCTGGCAGGGTGGGAGGTTGGGAGAACTGCATGCAGCCTGTCCTTTGCCTCATTTAATGTGATATTTGCACATACGGATAACTTCTCTAGTTCATTAGGGAATAAACAAACCAGACTGCTAGGTTTGGGTGTCAAGGAAAGCAATGAATGGTTTGTGATTTGATGGTTGTTGTGGGTTTTTCGCGCTTCTTGGCCGTGTTCTGAAAGTGGTTCTTCCTAACGTTTCACCAGTCTCTGTGGCTGACATCTTCAGGCCGTGAAAACCTTAGCGAATACAGGTTTGTGATTTGTTTAGCTGCTCTGACTTGTGCTAAGTAGCTGAAGCAATATTTGTATTTCTAGTAGGCTAGAATTTTAAAGATTTCTTACTACTGTGTGCAAATACTCTCAGTGAGGAGCTGCATAAAACAGGTGGATGGAATTTGAGGTAGGGGACTATCCACTATGGGACCTTCCACAAGGTCACCCCAGGCAACTCTTCCTCTTCTTGGTCCATACCCTGTTACAGTTTTTTGCCTGATCCATATCTCTACTCACGGTTGAGGCCAGTAAAGCTGAACATTCCAATCTGCTCTGTGATGTGATTCCAAGTCCCCGGTGTGCCCAGGGCCTCAAGCCGAGACCTGAGTTCTGCCCGCATCAGCAAAACACGATCTGCCATAGTCTTCACATTCTGCTTCCTGTAACATGGGGGGAGGGGATATATCTGAAGGTTGACCCAGCACCAACCTAACCCAGAGGAACAGAATTGAACTAAGTTGTGATCTCATTTTGCCCACAATGGGAACGCCCAATAAATCTTGTCTTTGTGGTTCTTACCACTCAGCAAAAAGCTCTGGGGAAGTGAGGGTAGTTGCCACAATACGAGCCCCCTGGGATGGGGGGTTAGACCAAGTGGTACGGACAATCTTCTCCATCTGAGATAAGACCCGCTGCACATTGTCTGCATCCTTGGCCACAACAGTCAGGTTTCCCACCCGCTCGTCTGTGGAGACAAACGGAATTGCAAACCATAAGCCTCCAGCTTCATACGATAGCAACCCACACAGTGAAAAAACAAGCCCCGCTTCCCAAGATTCAAAGCGGCATTTATTTGTAAGTTTACCATTTTCTGAAGCTTTTTAAAATGCTCCGAAAGTGGAAGGTTTCAGCATCAAAATCATACAGTGCAGAATTGTTTAAAAAAACAGTTCTGAATCCAGCAGACTTGTTCCACTGACGGAACTACTTCCACTGGCAAAACCTGGAGGGTTCCTGCTCCCTCTGCAGCCCTCCCCCCTGTGTGCTGTCAAAACCTTTTCCAGGGAGTTCAGCTCTGGTGCAGATTTTCAAAATGGAACATAGGGAGGGAAGGAAAAAAATAAACTCCCACAGTGCTAGCAGTCACATGCTAGCACTACACTGGCTTTAGTCCAAAGAAACAATAATGCAAGGAGAAAACATCACCAAATAATCCAATTAGTAGGAAAATTAAATACTCACTGTACAGGCCAAAGTTTTTTGAGAAGGACTGGGCACAAAAGAGTTCAAAACCCTCTGAAACAAAGTAGCGTACAGCCCAGGCGTCTCTGTCCAGACAGCCAGAAGCGAAACCTTGATAGGCTGAGTCAAAGAATGGGAACAGGAACCGGCGCTGCAAGAAAGACAATCAGTTGTAGTTTTGGGATGCAGTGCATTCTTCACAGCAGACTTTACTGCCCCCTGGAACCACATCCCATTTATTGGTCCCCACACTGAGCTCCTTGCCATTAAGAAGCCAACAACTAGAAAAATTAAATTATGCAAAAAAGGAAACTTAGCTTCATTGGCTTAATTGAGCCAGATCACAACATTTTGCTTTTGGGCACAGAACCTAGGAGTATCTTATAGCAGAATTTGATGTTTTACTGCCTGAAGCATACACAGCCTTGTTACTCTTTAGTGGCATACCTTCATAACAGCAGCAATTTGCTTCCATTGTTCTTGTGTAGGATCTGTGCCAGTTGGATTATGAGCACAAGCATGGAGGATAAAGATGGAGAACTCTGGAGCTTTCTGGATTAGGGCAAAAAGAAAAAAGAATAGAATTTGGGCTATATAGCATTAATCATTCCTTTTTGGGACTCACTGATTAGATCCAAGTGAACTAGACAGGGAGAGTACAGTAGAATAAACATACATAAAAAAGAATAAACATACATAATAAGACATTATTCTAGAAGACTCCTTTTCTGGAGTTGATGTTTAGCAGACATCAATGGATGTGATATAAAGATACCAGAATCACCATCAGATACCTAGAAATACGCACTTAGGCTGTGTACATATATACAGTGGTGCCTTGCTTAACAGGCGCCCCGTTTAACGATGAATCTGCATAGCGATTAACTTTTTGCAATTGTTTTTGCGATCGCATTGCGATGTTTCTAATGGGAAAAAATTGCTTTGCGATTATCGGTAAGCTGTTTCGCTTACCAATTTTCGCATAACGATGATTTCCCAACAGCTGAGATGGCGCTGGGTAAAAAAATTGGCCACCTGCTGTGTTTTCGCCCGGATTCCTCGCTTACTGGGCAGTGAAAATGGCAGCCATATGGAGGATTTTCGCTTAAAGGTGAGTTTTTTTGCCCATAGGAACACATTAAACGGGTTTTAATGCATTCCTATGGGCTTGTTCTTTTCGCATAGCGATGAATCTGTATAGCGATAATTTTTGCTGCACGGATTATCGTCGCTATGCGGGGCACCACTGTACCTCAATCCTAGTCAATATACAGGATTCCTGAGTGGTCTTGTGGGCAAGGAATGCAGACTCTCCTAGCAAAAGTTTGGCTACCCAAAAGTAAGTCTAATCTAAATTTAACACACTAATTAAAGCACTGTATTAGGTCATTCCTACTCACTGTGAAGTGTAGCTCTTCTAAAACTTCTAAATAGCAGGAGACTGTGGCCCTTTTCAATCCTAAAAAGCAACCTCCAGCCCTATTCAGATCTTCATCTACTTTGCCCTCCCCTTGTATGGCAAGTTGACCCACCTCTAAGTCCTCTAGAAATCCCTTGATGTCTAGACCCCTCTTTGCAGGATCCCAGTAGTGATAGGTTCGGATGTCCTTGAAGCCAGCATCCGTGAAGACAGAGTTATGGTTTTCTGTGGAATGTGGAGAAGCATTTGTAATTCAAGTTTGCGACACTTGGGACCAAGCTGCCTTTCATTTTTAAGTATTTTGAAACGTTGGAGATACAGGGCAGGGGGTGTATTTTGAAGCGTTGGAGATACAGGGCAGGGGGGTAAGGTTATGGAGCTTTGAAACGTTACTGCCCTGGTTTACAGCTATCTGAATCCACCGCCTCCCCCAGCATGGCTGTTAAGAATTTTGGGAACTGTAATGCAGGAAGCTTTCTAAACCATGCAGGGACCCCAACCATCCATCTCTCTGCTTCATACCATGCCAAGGATTCGAGTTCAGGCCTCAGCACTCACCCCAAGAAGGGGAAGAGATGTAGACAGGGGTTGCTGTGTTGTTGGTTCCATTGTACCAGCGTCTCAAGAACTCTGCTCCAATACGCAGAGCCCCCGTGCCTCCCAAAGACTGGACACCCCCAACCTGGAACAAAGGAAAAGGAATCATCAGTAAACAGATAATATTTTCAGGAGAGGAACTGTGTATTCTACCAGCAAGTATCCTTTTTCCAAAGAATATACATGTTGATTGCACTGGGATTCTAAGTCACCTCCAAATTCCTCTGTTCAGCCAAAGTCCATAGAGCCTTTAGGTGACTGAAGTCTGCAGACACAAACTGACATTATGCATCAGAGTGCCAACCTCTTTGTGCCCTAAGCCTTCTGCATCACCCCCACTTCTGTTCCTGAAGAGCTCACCCCATGCCCAGCCATTTCCAATGTCTCTCCACCCAGGCCAGGAGAAATAACTTTTGGTCCTCCAAGCATTTTAGACTACAGCTCTCCGAAGCTATAGCCAACTTGGCCAGTCATAAGGGATTATTGGGGGGGGGGGTTGTAGTCTACTCTAAAGCACCTAGAAAGCCAAACATTCCCTAGTTCTAAATGAGTAGAAGCCAGTTGTTTCAATGGCACAATGCCTTTTCATTTGTGCTCTCAGAAGTACTTGTCCATTAGCATTCGCTCCCTAGCTCCACCAGTCACCAATTCACCAGCCTGAAAAGCTGCACAAAATAATCCCCACTTCTGGAAGCTAACTCGCCACCCAGCTCAAGACCTTTTGTACCAAATTAATAATAGGTATTTCCTCTTCAGGCTCACCCTGTTCTCTTTGATGGCAGGGCTGTCCTCTCCAAGGGCAATACGTGAGGAATTGGCACGAAATTCTGGCAAGCCCAAGATAGGAAGGTACTCATGATTCAAGCTGGTGTCTTTGGTAATCATCATCTCCACCTTCCTTACCACTGGCAAGACCCATGGCTGACCCTCATCTGTGCGATAGGCTGTGGGGTGGAAGGGATAAAATTACTCTAGACAAAGGCACACCAGTTAATAGTAAAGGGCTTAGTGCTGAGTTTCTTTTTCTTCCCTACTCCTTCCATTTTAGGATGCTCTGCCAAATTTTAAACCTTTGAATAAGACTGTGGAAAACATTAAAATCAAAAGTAAATGGTGGAAATACAATCAAAGTCATAAATACATGGGCAGTTCCGGTAATTAAATCTGAGCTGGAATAATAAATTGGACCCAAAATGAATTGGAAAAATTGGAACAAAAAACACAGAAACTAATGAACACACATCACGTACTATATCCAAAAAGTGATATGGACAAATTATATTTACCAGAAAAAAATAGATGTTGTGGATTACTGCAAAACAGTAGAGGAGGAAAAAAGAAGCCTAAATGATTATGAAAGTGTAAGTAGAGGAAAATTGCTTACGGTGGGGAAAATGGAGAATATTTTAAAAAAAGAAACAAAGACTCAATATAAGAAACAACAATTTGAAGTTGGGAAAATATGCCACTACATGGACAAAACCTGAAAAACTTTGATGGAAATCATCATCATCATCAGTTGAATGGGAGCTTTAAGCCAAGAGCAGTAGACCTCAACTCAGACCTGGACTGACAAATGCCCTCCCCAGTCAACTTCAGCAAAGAACTGAAAAGCCTACTTTAAGTTGTGAGCCATAGACTGAGTTTAAGCTATTATCATGCAAAAGATACAATACAGGAGCAGGAGGAACTATATAAAATGATTTTCCCATTGTGCTCCCAGAATCAGGATGATATGCTGACTGGAAGATTCTGCAAACTATGGTCCAAAAATATGGGAAGACTTTTCCAAGCTCTGACTGCAGGCCAAAGAACTCAGAAATAAAGAGTAAACTTTTAAAGGATGCAGAGCTAGCAACTATCTGAACAGTGTGTCCAGGTTGTACTCTGGTTCTTAATGCCAGGAGCAGAGTCCGCTTCCAATTTAAACATGCTCAAGGTCACACACACGCCCAAGCAGAACCTGGACATTAGCCCAGATCTCTTGACAGCTGAGCCCCAGTCACAAGAATAACAGGTGGCAAAAACCCGGGCAGCATCACAACCCCACACCTGAGAGAAGCCAAAACAGTCAAAGCCTAAAGAAGAAAGCCAAATGACATTCTCCTCCAAGAACATTAAGCAGCAGACCAGATTAGGCTGCAGACCAGATTAAAGAGGAAAACATGATTGTAAGAAAGATAAGACTCCTGTTGACTATCTATACAAGTTAAACTGTGTACCCTGTTTCCCTGAAAGTAAGACATAACCTGAAAATAAGCCCTAGTATGATTTTTCAGGATGCTCGTAATGTAAGCCCTACCCACAAAGTAAGCCCCAGTTAAGTGAAACCCCACCCTCCACCATTGTGCAGCACATAAGAAGATAACATGACTGTATTTTAATAAGTGTAGATTGTTGTTTATGAAAAAATAAAACATCCCCTGAAAATAAGCCCTAATGTGTTTTTTGGAGCAAAAATTAATATAAGACCCTGTCTTATTTTTGGGAAAACATGGTAACTTACTGCACTGAACTGCTACTAACCATGAGGTTGCTCAGCATGAATCTACTCTACAACCAGTGCCTCCTTAGTTACTTCACTTCAGTGAGTTATCAATTTAATTTGCATTAAATCACTGACAGGGTACAGCTGCAAATCAAAGCAGAGGAAACAAAAGCCTTTCCCCTCTCCAGCCAGTCTAAAAGCCTTTCCCCTCTCCAGCCCTTCCTTGTTTCATTTCCTCTGTACCTCTCATTACAGATTCTACACTGTAAACCAGGGTAAACTACAAATCTTCCTTCAGCATCTTCAAGGATAGTCTATGGACCGCATTTCACACCATTAGGCACCCATATTTGTAACCAAAAGCCACATTACTAATAACTGGTACATTTTTTTAATGGTTGCCTTTTATGAAGTCTGCAGGTTGGCTCCAGATTTAAAAGTAAACACAGTGATGGTAACAAAGTGCAAGTTATTCTACATTTGTATTGGCCTCTTACACCAGTGTCAAAAGCTCAATTACTGTACCTGTATCAATCAGCAATGGGGAATTATTTTTATATTTCTACACAGTATAGGTCATTGAACCATATGCAATACAAAGTACTGATATAATATTTGAAAAATAAAGATGGTTCTAAGAACGTTCATGCCAGAACCTGCAAAACACAACATTTTTCTAAGTTCTGATTTTTAAGGAGTTTTAAGGAGACACACTACACCATTCGGAGTGACAGTAGGGTTTCCCTCATTGGCGGGCTTCAAGCAAAGTATAGAGAACACTTAGATACAGTCTAGACAGGGAGTTTGGACTAGATTGACTTCAAGACCCCATCCCAAATCTAAACAAAATAATATTAACACTCTTTCCCTGCTGCAGGTCAAAGTCTATAGAGGCAAAAAAGATCATCCATTGCATTCTCTAAAAAATGCAATGTCTGGTTTCCTCCTACACTTTTCCAGGAAATCTTCATAAGCCTTAAGGCAAAGGAACAAACATCTTAAAAGGATGTTAATTACAGGACTACAGAGCCTCTCATCCCAGTTATCTCCTACTTTAAACATCTTGGACAATATACTTTGCCAACTGAAAATTAGCCTGAACCATATGTGATGCACATACGTGGAAAATACATGATTTTCTTCCTAATAGCTGCCACTAGATAACACACAGCAAAAATCAACAAAGAGTCCTGAGGTACCTTCAAAACTCAGATTTAACTGATCAGTTTCATTTGACTAGCCAGTCTTATTGATTTAATTTTTGTTGGCCTTTAAGGTGCTACAAAATTGTTGGTTTTATTGCAATACATTAACATGGCTAAACCTCCAGTTAACATACAGAAGGGTTTCAAAGGTTGTATAAATAGCTGAAGTACTTCTGATCACCCTACATGGTTAAAGCAAAAAACACAACTTATTCAAGAGGAAACATACTGAAAACAGTTGATTATATATTTGAGTTTCATAGAATCATGGCAGGAATACCGAAACAGGGTTGAATTACTTGGCTGTGAAACGCTGATGCAAATAGCACCAGTCACCTTCACCACAGAACTATCTGGGTATGCAGGTAGGTCTGACAACCAGCCTTTCTCTTTTCTTTTTAGTCCTGAAATAGCTTTTGTACTTTTAGCTGTTGCCTGGAAAGCAAAAATTCTCCAAGGGCAGAGCTGTCACAGACAGCATAAAGTTGCAATTATGCAGAAGGTACCATGGGCTGGATTTTAGGAGGTCATACAGACCTTGAAAAGTCCAAGTGGATCTGTGTGAGAGGAAAAAAAAGATGGTAGCCACCCTCCATATAGGGCAGCCTCCTTTGGCATGGTGCCTTCCAGATGGGTTTGATTGCCACTCTTCAGGCCAGCACATCTGGTGAGCACCAGGCCGAGGAAGGCTGACCTAGGCCAAGGGGTGGGAACTTTTTGGGCCATTCAGATGTCTTGCATTTTAGCACCCAAAGCCCGGCCACTGGCAGAGGGTCGTGGGAGCTGCAGTCCAAAACCATCTCCTCTGCGGGGGCAAAGGCTGTGGGATTGATTGACTGACTGATTGCAACTCCGCTCTCAACAGTACTTCTGTGCATCCAAAATTGAGTCGAACCTGGGGCTTCCAGTGCTCGAGCCCCCTTCAGAACCACTTCCCACCCACCCACCCCAAGGTCTCAGTCCCACAGCAGATCATTCGCCCCTCCGGGTCACTCACCTCCCACGCCGAGATTGACCTTGCGAGGGTCCTCGTCGGCGCGGAAATCCGCGGTGAGCTGGAAAACGGCGACAGGCAGAGCCTGCGGGACGGTGGCAAAAACGGATCCTGTTCCGGGAGCCATTGCGGGGGCGACGCCAAGGCTGGAGTTCCTGCAGCGCTCAATCAGCCACACTGCCCGGAGGAGACTCTCACCTTCACCGACGGCCACGGAGAGACGGCCGCGAGTTAATCCCGGACTCCCACCCCGCTCACGACAAGGACCCACGTTGCACCAACCAGAGAGCCGCTCTCGGGAAAAGTAGGCGCGACAGCCAATCGCACGAGACACAAGGTAGGAGGCCGGCCTGCTTGGCGAATAGGATGCTGCAAATATTTGAAGGGCCTGGGATACAGCCAACCACCTTCTCATGAAGGCGGGCCAAAGGTGAAAGGACTTTTGCCACCCGCTGGAGAGCAACGAACGAGTCACAAAGGCGGTTGTAGAAATGAGATGCGACCTGTCAGGGAGACGGTTATGGGGCGGGGTGGGGGCTGTGCTGTTTCAGGGTTAAGGCTGCGTGGCGGGGGAAGGCGTAGATTGAATTTCTCAGGATGAAAAAATGGGTGGCTCAGGGACCCTGGAATTATTTTTCAGGTGGGCGGGCTCACAGTTGGCAGGCAGGTCCTTGTGAAAGTCGCTTCCCTGCAGATGTGATTTTACATCTCTTTGTTTAATAGGCTAACGTTCTATTTTATACAATTCAAAAGCATCAATTCTTCAGCGGTCAGCCTTCTTTATGGTCCAGCTCTCACTTCCATACATCGCTACTGGAAAAACCATAGCTTTGA